ATTCCTGAAATATACAAACATGGAAAGAAAAAAAAAATCATGAACATTCCAACCATGACTAAAAAACAGACATAATTTCTGCCAAGATGATCATGTCTTGTGATTAGGCAGCTTTTGCATGCTTTCACATAATCATTTCATGTTATATTTAACTCATTATCATCATCTGAATCTTGTCACACACAGAATGTTAAAACTACGACTCTTAACTGAGGCATGCTTTGTGATTACTAGAAAATACACAACCATTTAAAAGATTGAGTTCAGTAAGATTTTTATATGCATTTATTCAGGATGCATTAAACTGATCAAAAGTGATAGTAAAGAAATGTACATTGTAACAAAAGATTTCTATTTCAAATGCTGTTCTTTTAAAATTCCTATTCAGCTTGAATCCTGAAAAAAATGTATCAAGGTTTCCACATAAATATTATGCAGCAAAACTGATAGTTATTTTAAAATGTAATAACATTTTATAATATTACAAATTTTATTGTATTTTTAATTGAATAAATGCAGTCTTGGTGAGCATAATCATTAAAAAAATCATACTGACCCCAAACTGTTGAATGTTGTATAATAGCAGCAAAAACGATTTCTTGAACTCCCCTCATTTATATCTAAATCGTCCCTTGTAGGGTCAACACTATTATAAAAAAGTATGTAATTTTTCATTTTGTTTCATGTAATGTGAAAATGTTATCTCTGGCATGAAAATCTGCACTATTTTTATTAATAAATATTCTGATGTGAACAGTATGAAAATATTTGAAAACAACTTGGCAATTGGTTACTTAATAAATTTTACACAATTGTTTTATATGTTAAAGCTGCTAACCACAGTGAGAAATAAATCTAGGGGAAAAAAACATTAAACATCACATCAATTGAACAACAACTCTAAAATACAACTCAACTCTCAATTGGGGAAGTTGTGGCCGGGGAAGTCGTGGCCTAATGGTTAGAGAGTCGGACTCGTAACCCAAAGGTTGCGGGTTCGAGTCTCATACCGGCAGGGATTGTAGGTGGGGGGAGTGAATGTACAGCACTCTCTCCCACCTTCAATACCACGACTGAGGTGCCCTTGAGCAAGGCACCGAACCCCCAACTGCTCCCCGGGCGCCGCAGCAAAAAATGGCTGCCCACTGCTCTGGGTGTGTGTTCACGGTGTGTGTGTGTTCACTGCTGTGTGTGTGCACTTTGGATGGGATAAATGCAGAGCACTAATTCCTAGTATGGGTCACCATACTTGGCAACATGTCACTTCACTCACTTTATATTAGCATAATTTCATAAAGCAAAGCTACCAACATATATGAATACTTCAAACCAGAATTCAACTTTTAATAAGGTTTTTAATTTGGCTAATAATGCTGCCATCAAGGTTTGCTAGAAAAGATAGTAAAACTGCCAACAAAAAAGATACAATGATATTAAACTATAAATATAACAGTATCTAGTGTAGTGGAAAGCTATTACCCAAATATAATACCCACCCAAATTTGGAAAATGCTTGTTTATTACGGCCAAAAATAAACCTCTACAACCTCCAGGACTATCCAGAAAAGATTCAGTGCTACTAATGCAACAGTCACATGCAGACATCCATTAGGACCTGAGTCATGTGGAAATTGTTGCGTGGGGTGAGTGAGAGGAATTCTCTATTCATATAAACCTCAAAATACACTCCATAGAGAGATGCTCTTACAGTCATTTTCACAGAGTCTAACCTGTGCTATCTAAACATGTGGAGCGAGCTGGCATCACCTACATGACTGGTGAGTTTTCAGAAACCCCATAGCACTAAATCCTTCATGCTATGGAAAAAGAAAACTAACTGACTAACTGACAGAGTGATCACGGTTACTTCAGATGGGATGTGGCTACAGACCTCTACTGTATGTGCTGTATGCAGTGCTGGTTGAGTATTTGTGCCTGAAGGCCAGTTAAAGATTACTGATATGAGTCACACTGATCACAGCATCCGACTCTCTCTTCCTCCCTCCCTCTCATTCTCTTTCGATCCCTACACTGTTCCTCAGTTCAGGAGGGCCTGGGGGTCTCCATGGTAACAGTATTCATGTGAGTTCAGTCAGCGGAGTACAGAAGAGCACAGAGAGAGAGAGGGACGAGAGAGTTGTAAATGTGAAGAGAACTGAAACGGATCAAAGTAGGGAGAGTAGGAACAGGTGATGAGCACACAGGTCATCAAAAAATGAGGTGCCTAAATACATCAGAGGGCATTTCAAATTCAAGATGCTGCTCTCAAAGGTCACAGCCGTCATTTACCGACGTCAGCTAAAAAACAAAAACAAAAAGCACTGTTTTCACCTACATATGGAAGCCTGTTGCCACCTCAGTAAAAATAAAAAGCTAATTGTGAGAGTTTAAAATTAAAAGTTTAAAAAAGGAAAGATGTCACACTGTGAGATATAAAGTCACAATTGGGAGATAAGAGTCACATTGAGAACTAAGAGGAATTCTGAAGTTGCAATTACGAGGAATAAAGTCAAATACATATATACAGCCACTACAAAAAAACAACAACAAAAACAAAAAACGCAAGTTTGGGGTCAGTATTGGATTTTTTTTTTAATTAATACTTTTACTCAGAGGAAACATTAATCAAAAGTGACAGTAAAGAAATGTATAATGTTACAAAAGATTTATGTTCATCAAAGAATCCTAAAAAATGTATCCACAAAAATATTAAGCAACAACTTGATTTCAACATTGATAATAAGAAGAAATGAGAACCAAATCAAGATATTAGAATGACTTCTGAAGGATCATGTGACACTGAAGACTGGAGTAATGGCTGCTGAAAAATCAGTTTTGCCATCACACCAATAAATTACATTTTAAAGTATATTAAAATATAAATTGTAATATTATTTCACAATATTACTGTTTTAACTTTATATTTTATCAAATAAATGCACTCTTGGCGAGCATAAGACTTCTTTAAAAACAATAATAATAATTATTATTATTACAGACTCCAAACCTCTAAATGGTAGTGCATGTTTTTAATTTTATTTTTTTAATATCACTACACTACACTATGAAACTAACTGCATTTTATCTAAGCGGTTTTCAGCCTTTACAGAACCAGTGTCATCAACATGGCTCAATCCAAGGACATACAATATATATATATATATATATATATATATATATATATAAGATTTTCTTAGAAAAACATTTTAATTAAAAAAAAAATTTTGCATGCTGATTAAAAACTTGAGTGCAGTTTAGAGCCAGAGACATACAGCCACTCTTGTAAATAACCAACTACCTTCACCTGGGATGTAAAGATTAAGAAATACGTGTGATTACATATTATAAGAAAATGATGACAGAATTTTCATTTCCTTTGGACAAAACACAGGCCCGGAGCTGCAGGCTGATTCACTGCCACCTGAAACAGCTGCTGTTGCTCTGACCTTGGGAGGTACAGTCACATCCGAGCTCTGATGTGTGACTGAGACAGCTGATGGTGACGCCAGGTCTCTAGAGGCTGGCGTCACAAGGGTGTTTGTGCTGACTTACCCTCCCTGAAGGACATTTAGTAGGATGGTGACACCAACCTCTAGTGTGGGATCTGGAAAAGCTGGTACTCTACTCTCAGTGAGGCGCTGACACAGATAGCGCTATCCCTAAATGACGATTAGCACTGCTAATTGCGCTTCACACTCTGGGAAACAAACGCAGGAAGTCCCAAAACACAGTGAGACTGAACATCAGTATAATGAGCAGCCAGAGAGGCTCCCGTTCATTAGCGATGGTTAAAAGCTTTCGGCTCCTCCACAGCAGCTGTGAGTCAGAGCTGCATATGAAACATCTCCACATGATGTGCTGATTTACCGAAGATGGGCAGTAATTTGAAATTTATTAGAAGTAGCAGGAAATTTTCAGAAAAGATTTCAGTCAATTTTATCATCAGCACTTAAATGTACTACAATGAAATGGACAGAAGCAAAAACTGTTTTTTTTTCTATTTCTGTTTATATATATATATACTGTATATATGTGTGTGTGTGTGTGTGTGTGCATACACTACCAGTCAAATTTTTGAACAGTAAAATTTTTAATGTTTTTTTAAAGAATTATTTTAATTTTATTATTTTACTGCAAAAGCAGTAATATTGTAAAATAATTTTATAAATATTTGTTTTATTTTTCAGCATCATTACTACAGTCTTCAGTGTCACATGATCCTTCAGAAATCATTCTAATATTCTGATTTGCTGCTCAAAAAACATTTATTATTATTATGTTGAAAACAGCAGAATGTTTTTTCAGGTTTCTTTGATGAATAGAAAGTTCAGAAGAACAGCATTTATCTGAAATAGAAATCTTTTGTAACATTATAAATGTCTTTATCATCACCTTTGATCAATTTAAAGCATCCTTGCTAAATATAAATTTCTATAATTTCTTTAATTTCTTCTTTTCTGAAGGATCATGTGACATTGAAGACTAGAGTAATGATGCTAAAAAAATCAGCTTTGAAATCACAGGAATAAATGACATTTTAAAATATATTCAAATAGAAAGCAGTTTAAATAGTAAAAATATTTCACAATATTACTGCTTTTGCTGTATTCAAATAAATGCAGGCTTGGTGAGCAGAAGAGAATTCTTTAAAAATCATTACTGTTCAAAAACTTTTGACTGGTAGTGTGTATATATATATATATATATATATATATATATATATATATACATATACACATGTGTATTTTATTCACATATCTTTATTTCTTATTATCTGTTGTTGTTGTCTCTGTTTACTGGAAGCTTCTGTCACCAGAACAAATTCCTTGTATGTGCAAACATACCTGGCAATAAAGCTCTTTCTGATTCTGATTCTTTCTGACTGTAAAAGGATGCTGCGATCATTTCTCTGCTATATTTAGAAACTTGTAGGTTGTAAGAACATTTCAGGAGCAACCCAGATCTTTTTCAGTCGTTTAATGTTCTAAAGTCTGACTCACCTTGCACACAAAACTTGAGCTCCTTGGCATCGGTGACAGTGCTGCCAGCCATTCTCTCTGGCACTTTCTTACTCATGCGATTGTAATTCAGTCTTTTCTTGGACTCGCCCCACAGGTTGGAGCCCCCGTGCATGCTGGGAATATTGAGCACAGCGATACCCTCCAGAGACGTGCTGCTGAGATCCAAAATGATACCATCACACTGGGACAGAAACAGAAAATCAAAAAATGTGGAACATTTCTTATACAGTATATACATTTATATTTATACACACACTTTTTTTCTTTTATGTTCACCATATTTTATTCTATTTTAACATTATAAATGTCTTTGTTGTCACTTTTGACCAATTTAATGCATCCTTGCTGAATAAAAGTATTAATATCTTTACAAAAAAATTAAACTTTACAGTTAAAATTAACTGACCCCAAAATATTGAACGGTAATGTATACTGTATAAAATAGAATGATAAAGCACTTAAAGCATTATAAACGGCATTCATGTGCTTAACTATTAGGAGTGGCACATCAATAGCAATCGCATTCCAGACACGAGAGATGTGAAACTAGTCTAAAAATGCCTGCGGGTGATCCAAAAATAGAAATGCTGTACAATATTGTATGATGTCAGAGACCACCCTGATTCAAACCAAGGGCGTCAGTAGTACAGTGGAAAAGTACACAAACTTCAAAAGACAAATGCTGACATGTTTATGATATAATGAGATTGATCCGAGTGAGATCCCACACAAGAGTGGGAGAAAGAAACTTCTTTTCCTAAAGCAAATTTCTCAGCTGATGTTGTTTTCATAGCTCTTCTAACTTCATAACCGTTGTGAAACATCAGCCTCTTCGGTCTGGATCAAAGTTAGTTTACTAAGCGGCAATTTTGTTAATGCGACCAATTTATTTATGAACTTTTTTTAATGCAAGTAATAGGCATTAAAGCACAGCTTTTATCTACTTGAGTGCGGAAAAATTTAATATTGTTGATGCTTTAATAATAACTATAAAATCAGTACTAATAAAATAAAAGCTCATAAATTTTGGCTCAAATCAAGCTAAAAAATTGTTCAAAAAGACGACTGCTTCTTTTAACTGAAAGGCGTTTTCACGTGTGGTTTGTCTTTGCCCCCTTATAATGTCTCTGCCTAGATTAAATATCAAGCACTTTAGTAAACAGTATTGTAGCAGTTAAAACAGAAATCCTCCTCATTATCATTGAAACTCATTGCATTCCTTATGTACATCTAACCACAGGCACAAACTGGCCAGTGTGAAACTTTGACATGCTGGGAACGCTGTCAACAGAGTTTGCTTTCAAACAGACGTTCTGACATGTTCCCTCAACACTGACTGCGTAAGAGCAGCCTGAGGTTTACTGTAGATACTGAAGCCAGCTTTGTTGAAGGAAGTATTCAGTGGACATACTCACCATATACACAGTTAAAAGACCGTGAATGTGGCTGTATATAATTACAACATTTGCTGTCAAGTAAAACGTGGCTCTGTCCTGAACTCACCTCCACCTCAATAGATTCGTTCAGCTTTTTACACGTGGCTGAGATGGTCTCTGTGGTGCCAAATTCAAAGTACCACAACTTGTTTTTCATCCTGAGGAGAGAGAACAAAAGTGATTAGTAGTTAAACTAAGAATTTTATACGATACATTTTTGGTTGTGATGTTATGAAAAAAACAATGAGGTTATGCATAAATAAGTAAACTTGATCTTTCGCGGTTCCGATAAATCAGTAATCTATGTGATGTATTAACCTGTATTAACTTTGTTGTACCAGTTGTACAGTTTTTGCTTATTTTAAGACAAACATGAATGCTAACATGGCAAAACATTGGCAAAACATTGGTGAGGTTCCTGTCATAAATAACACCTATGCGTCTGAATGTTTTAAGATGACCTCAGAGGAGCAACTGACAAATAAGAAATAATGTTCAACAGGATTTAAAATGCAACATCTCAAGCTCAGCCATAATGAGAGAAAAAAGAAAGAAAGATGACTGTGTGCAGCTGCTCTATCATTGGAACAACAAACAGGTTTGCGTTTACACACCCCAATGTTAATGCTGGCGTGAAAATAAATATTATGGGATGAACAGAGCCTTGGGCTGTCAACGGATTAAACAGACAACTGCTCTCAGATCTAACTTTGAACAAGAATCTCCCAAAAGTACCTCATTTGCAACAACACATAACATGGACTTCCAAAAAGTTTTTTTTTTTTTTAGTTTAGTAGCTGAATCCTGATTTACGGCATCAAATTTACAATTTAGTTTGCCAGGGAAAGCATACAGAACTCTTTGATGGTAAATCTACAATCAATTTACACTACACCAATCAAAAGTTTGGGGTCAGTAAGATTTATTTTTTTTTTTTTATAAATTACAAATTATTCAGCAAGGACATATTAAAGTGATCAAAAGTGTCTTTCCGACCCAAAACTCTTGACCAGTAGTGCATTGTTCCTTAAACAGGTCTGACTCAGTCACATTAATTTGAATGAAACAAAATGGTGTGCTTTAACACGAGTCAGTCTGTCTCTTCTTACCCATTACAATCTTTGCTTACTCTTGAGGAAATGGCTGGTTATAGTTTGGGCCAGTTCATTTTGTCACCCTCTGGCCTTGCCCTGGCCTTCTGAAAAATTGATACGCTACAAGGAAAGCCGAGGCAGACAGGTGTGAGAGGACATGAGTGACAGTGAACTTGGCCACAGCTTCCATGGAGAAACCAGAGCCACCATCGACAACCTGAGCGCAATCTGACATTAACATGGCCTGGGACACTGAGAGGAGCCAGCGGAGGACAGACGCTGCCAATATATCACACAAGGGTAGGACTAATCTATAATGAAGACCTTCTGCTTCAGCTCAGAGCTTAAAAAGAAAAAACTAAACAGATGACTTTATAACACCAGGACCCTATCAATTGGGTCCCTCTCTCTACTCTAAACGTGTTGCATTTTCACTTTGGTTATGAAACAGGACAATTTACACTCATCAAATGGTGACAACCAGTGACAAGGCCCTGCAAAGGGGTGTTCTGCTTATAATGACAACACTATTGTTTGGTTAATAGACAACACGCAATGGGGGCTTCTCCAGGCCCACAAGGGATGGACACAGAGCAACCATCAGTATCAACCATATAAAATATGTAATCCGCTGAGGGACAGGATACAAGTGAAGGCTGACATAAACTATTGATGGCAACTTGCTAACGAGTCTATACAATTTACGATTTTTTAAATATTTGACACATAAAATGAGTTAAATGCACTGTAAAAATTTTTTTGAAGTTGTAAATAAAGATTTTGGAGTAGATTTTACAAGAAAATACATTTCAGTTTTTCTACTTCAAAATTGTACGTTTAATTTGATGTGTTACTTGCTGTTTCCTTGTAATCGTTTGTGACATTTACCAGCCGTTTCTGAGTGGAAACTGTTTCTAGACCATCTTTTAATCAGTGTGCTCTGACACTTCATTTAAGTCAAACTATTCAAATGCAATATGAAAAAAAAAAAATTGTCAAAAGTCATCAGAATCCAGGTATAAAGCATGTTATAAAAGTTTTTTTTTCCAGGTTTTAAATACTAAAAAACAGTGTTGGGGAAGCAATGTTGATTTTCCTCCTTCAGTCAGAACAATATTTAATACCACAAAACACTGAGAGTTAAAACTATTAGCATTAAATAGCATTTGAACATAATTATTTAAAGCAAATATTATTTATAAGTAATATATGTATTACATTTCATATGTACTTATTATGTATGTATTAACATTTAATAAATATGTCATATTTAATATCAATTATTCAATATTTAATATATAAAATTAATTTAATATATACATTTATTATATATCACATATCATATAATTAGATCACGGGTTGGATGCAAAGGAAATTAATAAATTGCCAAAATGCATACTGTATCTCAAATGCATGAATGTAAATAATTCATATTTTAGACAGATAGACATTTTAGAGTAGTGTGTGTCAAACATTACCTTCATTTTCTCAGCTGTAATACAATTCATTAACGCCATACAATGTGACAAACATAGCAATGTAGAGTTTTGTTGTGATATACCACTACTTGTTTGAAAAATTCACTTGTTACTTGAAAAGCAACCCTGTTTTGAAAACAGATGAACCACTGTCACAAGTCCATAGCATTGCTGCCGTTCCTTTCAAACTTCATTCTGTCGTCCTCTCCCTCAGTTTATACTCCAGCAACTTGCTACCTTCATTCTGTCAAATTAAGGGATTATGAGCAGATTTGAGATCACAATTAGACCCACATTGCGATCTCAACGGGGTCAAGCTGCCTAACCTCATTAGCTAACCTCCATCTGAGTAAGCTCTGGAAAAAAAAACACAATTAGCACAATTAGCCACGGGTTTCTCTTTCCGTTCCACCCCCAGTTGAAGTTTGAAGTGGAGGAAAAAAAAAAAGTTCTGTTAGCAGCCTGTTAGAAAGATGTCTTCTGAGCTTTGCAATAGCATGGAGGAAGCAGCAAAGACTAAAAGCTTCCTGGTAAGAGCATCTTAAGGTTAGTGTTTTCTGTGCACAGCTAGGTCATCGGACAAAAGTGAGCATTCAAATAGCATCGAGATTTAAACTATTAAGCTAAAATCCTCTTGACTAGAGTTAATTATCTTGACTAGCACATAAAGATGTAGATGTTAAGGGTCAGCGAACCTTTAAATTTAACCAACACATTCCTGAAAAACAATCACAAACACACACCCTGCTGGTCATCGGCCCAGATAACCATCTCCCATAATCCCTTCAGAGACGGCTGACTTTTTGACCCGTGAGCTCTCTGCCCCGTATCACTGCACCAATCAGTCACTACGCAGCTCAGTCCTTATCCTGCTGATCGGGACTCTGATACAGCCTTTGACTGACAGCATAAATGGGAGTGATTTTAAGGACGCGGGTGCTGTAGAGGGAGGAGGGCATTTGGGGGTTAAAGATAAGATGCGATGATCCTCTTGTGATGGGAACAAGAGAAGAAAGACTGCAGTGTGAATATCCCCACTGGTAATACTGTCAGATGGATCAGTGTGACTCCTTTCCATCAGAACACTCTGAACTCAGAACAGACTTTTGCTGTTGCGTCTTTCAATCTTTCTTTGTTGAGTTGTCTCCAGAAAGCATTTTGTAAACACTAGCAACAACATTAAAAACAAAAACATTAATATTAATGGTATGATTCATTTAATAATAATTTATATTGTGATCATTTAATAATTCAGTATATCAGAGTGTTAATAATACAACTACTATAATAACAATACCATTTAAATAATTTTATTTTTATTTAAACACATTTTTGAATCTCTTATTATTCTATTTCTTGATTGACTATTCATTTCTGAAAAGCCTTTGTAAGAAATGTTGTAAAATGTTTTAGTAATAATAACAATATTTTTATATTAATTTGACACCATCCAATAAAGATGCTACAGTGCAATTTTTTTTTTAAATTTCAGGCATATTCTTTTTTTTATTAGTCAATTTGTTGATCACTTCTGATAAAATAAAATGGATAATAATAATAATTATCATTATTATTATTATTATTACTACTACTACAAATAATACTAATTATTATTGCAGCCATATTCTTTCTTAGTCAATATGTTGATCTGACTAATCACTTCACTAAAAGCATTTTACAATGCAGTAAAAATGTTTATAAAATAAATAATAATAATAATAATAATTTTTGAATTGCATTCTTTCTTATTAGTCAATTTGTTAATCCGACTAATCACATCTGAAAAGCACTTTGAGAACAAATTTGAAAACGTTTTATGATGTAAAATGGATAACAACAACAACAATATAATAATATTTTTTTTAACTGCAGCCATATTCTTTCTTATTAGTCAATTTGTTAAAATAAAATGAAATAAAATGGATAATAATAATAATAATAATAATAATTATTATTATTATAATTAGTGGTGTCAAATTAAAATTTTCAGCTAACTCTGTGACTCTAGGGTCCTCCTCCACAGTCTGCCTGCGACCTGCTCCACAGCAAGGGTGTGTGTGTGTGTGTGTGTGTGTGTGGGAAGGAGGGTCAGGGCAGGGGGTATGTTCTGTCGGGCTGCTCTATTGGCAGCAGCCAGAGACAGTGAGGAAGGGAAGCATTTATTTATTGCTCCCCACCATGGGCAAGGAGGAGCAGGGAACAACAGGTTCCAGAACACAGGCACACTGGGTTTCTGCTGAGTCCCGGCACACACACATATGTGCACGTGGTGGGATTTACGCACACGCACACCCACGCACACATACGGTCCTTGCACTAAAATACAAAATGAATTGGCCAACGCACACACACAGAGCACACAAACATCCTTACTCACATAGACATAACCTAGACATCTTCTTAGGGGTTATGAAACACATGCTCACATGCTGGGCAGACAGACGGCAGCTTGGGTCAGGACCATATTTGGCCTTTTCCTCTGTCGGTCACGTGATCGGAGGTGGTGTCGTAACCGTACATTTTCATCTCGTGACATTTATTACGTAAATCAACAAATTTAACCGGGAAGAAAAAGTGGATTGGAGGCTGGTGGGGATAAATTCACGAAAGAAGCCTTCTTTCTATTCATTCAATAATATCTTAATTTCTATCTGTCTACAGTATAACATAATGCAAGATTTACATCCAACTTTAAACCAATGACATTAAACTATCAAATTCTGTTATTAAGACATGATATATTTGAAAACTGACAGAGTATAATCATTAATAAAAATTTAAATTCTCTGCAAAAGTGTCTTTTAGCAAAATCACACACAACAGATTTACTATGTCGTATGAACTTGTAAAGTGTCTGCAAAGAACATGGCTGTAAAAGTGAAAACAAAAAAAGAAGATAAAAGATAACAACGTTTTACCGCAGGACAAATGAACAGCCATAGCAGACAAAGCACAAAGCGCAGCTGGTAATGGCATGTTTAATGTCATATTTGATTTTTATGGTGCAAATGACATGCTGCAGAGTAAAAAGGGACATCTAGCCGACCTCAACTAGCCCAACGCTTTTCACAGATCAATGTGAAAATACAGTAGTCTAACTGACTTGCCTGTCAGCCACTTGCATGTGGAGTTACACGCTGATGATCAATCAATGGCTATTTGAGGCAGAAATAAACGCGTTTTAATGCACTCCCCACCCCTTACTGACTGCAGCATACAAAGAGTTATCATAATGTAATTGTGAAGCATTCATTCAGACCAATCCAAATCTTTGTCATTATGAATAATTCAGCTGTGGTGTTTCACAAATTTTACCATAACAACAAGAGAGACTAGTAGATTTAATGGTGAGCACCAATGCCATATAAATGTGGAATATACAATATTATTATTTAGGGATATTATTTGTGAAAAAAATGTAACAACAGTTATTGTTACTACTTTAAACACATAATAAAACTACATTAGATCACCTTAAAAAAGATTACAGATTACATTATTTTTATCTGTATTTTTCTACTAATAGTGGTGGCGAGTACCAAATTACCAGATTCTTAATGTTCATTAATGTCATCAATGTTGAATGTTTATTTTCTTTTATTGTATATATATATTTTTATTTTTAGCACCAGAACCTTTCTTTTTCTGTTTGCATTTACAAAATTAAGCCAATAAAATACTTTGAAATTGGTCTTCAACAGAAAAAAAAAATGAAAGCAAATGAATAAAGTGTGGGAATTAAATCCACCATGATATTAGGAGAAACAAGACCCCTCATGTGCCTCCACTCTGTGTTCAGCCCTGCCTCTCATCTTCTTGCCATTGTATGCTTGAGCAACTGACAGTCCACAGAGCCGTCATTGTTATTTTAATCAAAAAGACAAAGGCATCTTAGAGGTCTTTTTTCTTTTCTATGGGGCAATTTGACACCTCTTAATCCAAAACTTCCTCTGGCTGCCCCGTTGGGAGGAGCGGACACAGAGGCGCAGGTCCATTGAGCATTCGTGGTCATTAGCACCTGGGCTGCGGGTTCCCTGTAGACCGACTGCTGATGCAGATCACTGAGCACCGAAGTGAAAGAAGTCACACATATCCCCTACCCACGTATCATATGTCACTGTGGGAATGCGTGTGGATGTTAACACATGCACACACATATAAACACACTTGAATGGAATTTGCATTTGATTTTAAACTGAATTTTTAATCAAGTGCATCATTATGCTGTTCTGAGTGCCTGTTAAAACTAAAAGCACTGTTTTCATGGGGGTGAAGTATAACAGGTGGACTGAAACATGTCACATAAACAGGTTCAATGAGGATAAATCATGCAACACCATGGCAACCATCATTTATGTACCATCTGGTGGCACGCTGCCTCCGAGAGTGCATTCTCAAATCCTAAAAACACTGAGCACAGCCCTCATTAGAAAGCCATAGATTGACAGATGCACTGGCTGGCTATTCTAAATTTGCAGAACAAAGCAAAGCAGATAAAGCATTTGGTTTGGCAGTGTTTTATATTGGGTGACTCGCTCTGGGATTAAACACTGAATGATTTAAATGGGCTGAGGACATAATTCCATTTATTCTTATTTTGGACTCTCTGTCCGTCAGTCATTTAAATATAAATTGCAAATGAGCCACATTTGACTGAAACTGGCAACGAAGAAGTCTAGAAACCCCTCATTGTGGAGAAACCACAGGATGTTTGGCATCACATTGCAACACTTTGAATGTGCTGTGGAAATCTAGGTGCATGAATTATGAACGACTGAAACATTAACTAGTTAATTCAGCCAGGCAGGATCCATAATTCAGATTGTGTATGAGTCATTAGGGACTTATTTTCAAAAGTCATTAAAAAAGCTGTGCTGTCATGACAGGTTCTCACTCTAATATAGAAAACTGTGTGATGGTGGGCGTCATCCATCTTTATATAATCCCAGCATCCAGCATTTTTACAGCAGAGCTCTGTATACAGGACACATTCTCTGTCGCATCATAAATATGAGCTCAGTACATGTCACTGCCACTCAAACAATTCTCGTGGAACAGTTTTACAGATTCTGTTAATGAAAAGACACTAGAAAATGCCTAACATGAATTTAAAGAGCTAATAATCACTTTATGTATTATACTAACGGCATTATACAACAGTTAGTTCTGGTCTTTTAATCTAATTGGCACTCCAAGAGTGAGCACAGGGACTCTTTACTGTTTGTTTCAACTGAAAGCTTGCCTGCAAAGCTTTCAGCAAACAGCAGGGATACACTAATATTAAAGTTCTGGCTGATATTTTTAAGAAAGATATTTATGATGTTATTTTCATGTTATGGCTGATAACATATTGACGTATATAGATAACTTTAAAAAGGTACATACATACTTTGATTAAAAATACAGTAACAGTATGATAACAAATTAAAATAACATTTTTAATTTAATTCTATTTAAATATATTTTCAAAAGCAATTTATTCCTGTGATGGTAAAGCTGAATTTTCAGCATCATTACTCCAGTCTTCAGTATCTAATAATTATTTTAAAAACTCATTCTAATATGCTGATTTGCTGCTCAAGAGACATTTCTTATTACTGCCAATGTGATATATGCATTGCAAGCATTCTTAAATGAATCTAAAGTTCAAATGTATGTATTATGTATTTGTATTAATTATGTATTAAGTTATCAGTGGAACACTGTTGTCCAATCACATCAGATTATGCAACCAATAAATAAATCTCAATATTTCTGCTGCCTTATTGAGTTGAATGGCAACCTAAAATGCCTGGAGTCTTACTGAGCAAGACCAATGACGCTTAACAAAAAGCCCCATTCTTCGTGGCCAAGGGCTACACGGGCTTTTAACAGCGTTTCTCAATAGAGGCATCAACCAAGAGAGAACAGACAACAGTAGAACGGACTTGAAAGAGATCCACATCAAAGGGAGCTCAGAACGGCTACTGTAAAGTGCACCAGGGGCTCTGAGGGACTGTTCCTTAAGATAAAACATCATCTTTTATGGAGCTGTTAGAGTCGAACCAAAGTGCTGTTCTAGGGTCAGTTTTAGCAGTTACCCTTTTATTGCTGGAAGACTGATGGAGGCTTATTGTGAACTACAATTATCTTTGAGCAATGATGATTTCACTGCTATCCTTTCTCATGCTGAATTGCCTTGCTAACGTCATCCTGATTCATTCTACCTGCTCAACTCAAGCATTTCTCTCTCCTCCTACTTCAAATGATCCAATTGAGTGGAGATAATAGTAGAGGGTCCAAATTAGACTGTATCATTTCTACTTTACCACTCTAAATGGCCTTCTCTAAAGGATACATGACAGACCGGTTTATTTTCCATCACTGAAGCAGAGACGCATTGCATAACATTTCATTAAGAAACTCCATTCAAACTGACTCTACTCAAGCTAGCAAAGAAACTGAAACCGTCAGCCAGTCGCCAATGTGCTAGAACTGACACAGACACAGGCAGCTTGAAGAGACGAATAACACAGAACAGTGATTCATCAGGGTTTGTTTTTTTGTGCTTAAAAAGAAGTCTCTTTTTTGAAGGTCAAATTATAAAACTTCTATTTGAAATGATTTTGATCTCTGGACACCAAATTGATAGAGAAAAGGCTTGAGTTTATATTCATGCCAAGTGTAAAAAGTGTGTTTAGACAAAGTCAAAGATGTTCAAATATGAAAAGAGTGGCAATCTGCGTCTGACGCAGTAAAGTGAAACCTCACTTGAAAAGTCCAAAATGTTGGTTAAATGAGTTTTTTGCTGTGGGCGGGGCCATGCGGCATGACTCAGCAGAAATAGAAAACAATGTAGCTTCGCTCATCGGTTACCATGACTGGTTTGAACAGAAACTAGGTTTTGGTAAAGGTTTTAGTGACTTCTCAGATGTCACAGCATAACGTCCTTTCTTATCATTTGTGTCATTCATCTGCACCATTTTTATAGAAATTTCCATTTTGCTTCTCTCCATATGCTCATTTACAAACATGCATGTTTTCTTACCTGCTGTTAAACTTCTCTGGATGTTTCTCCCTCATCAAGTGGAAGCGATGTGCTATGGATGCATCCTGAATAGGGACACAGAAAACAGGAAACACAGGTTAACTACCTCTCTTTGCTTAACATATAAAAGTGTTTTAAGTCTCTGGCTAATGAGCTGCAGACAGTGTTGTCGGATGGCTGAAGGAGCCACATCCTAAATCAAGTGTTCAGGGCTGAGATGAAACACAACCCCTGGACCATACAGGACAGCAATAAAGCTGCTCAGACATGACCCAGATAATGTGGCACAGCCATCCTAGATAACAATGATCAATATTGAACCCTCTATGGTATGGTGACACATTTATTTTAATTTTATTTATTTTCCTAAAAATTTAAATCAGAAAAACTACAACAAAAGTGCAATGTTGGAATTAAAAGCACTTTTTATGTTCACCCTCACAGGAAACACACATGCTGGGGTGCTCCTTAAATTTAGATCATTTTTTTCTACATCTGGATTTTTTTCTGCTTATTTGATGGGCTAAATCAATGTTTTTTTTGTTCACAAATCGATTTTTAAATGTGTTTCCAAGAAAAGCACACACACACAGACACGTCTGTTCAGCTATCCTTGTGGGGACTCTCCATAGGCATAATGGTTTTTATACTGTACAGACCGTATATTCTATTGCCCTACACCTAAACCTACCCCTCACAGGAAACTTTCTGCATTTTTACTTTCTCAAAAAAACTCATTCTGTATGATTTATAAGCTTTTGTACCCATGGGGACCTCAATTTAGGTCCCCACCGTGACACGAGTCCCCATGAGTCTGTGTGTATCCAGGTTTAAGTCCCCACCAGAATATATAAACCTGTACACACACACACACACACACACACACACACACACACCCTCCCTAACAGTGAGCTCTGCTTTTAAGAATAATTGTGAAGGATAAATGGTGCAATTTGAGTGCACAAGGATTCCAAATGTATATACACTATTATTCAAAAGTTTTGGGTCAGTATTTTATTTTTATTTATTTTTTAACTAGTACTTTTATTGAGCAAGGATGACAAACAAATCAAAAGTGAAACTTTTACATTGTTACAAAAAATAAGTATTTCACATAAACGCTGTTCTTTTGAACTTTCGAATCCTGCAAAAATGTATCAAGGTTTCCACAAAAACATTAAGCAGCACAACTGTTTTCAACATTGATAATAATAAGAAATGTTTCTTGAGCACCAAATCGCCATATTAGAATGATTTCTGAAGGATCATGTGACACTGAAGACTGGAGTAATGATGCTGGAAACTCAACTTTGCCTCATAGGAATTAATTGCATTTTAAAATATATGCAAATAGAAAACAGTCATTTTAAATCGTAATAATTTTTTCACAATATTACTGTTTTTACTGTATTTGTGATCAAAAACATGCAGCCTTGGTGAGCAGAAGACGTCTTTCACAAACATTAAAACAACTTGCTGACCTCAAACTTTTGGACAGCAGTGTATGTATCAACTAAAGAAGGAAACTGAATTAAAAAATGTAATTAGAGTTGTCGAATCTTAATCATAAAATGTATTTCTATTTTTATGTCTTTAATATTCTATTTTGTCAAAATATGTCACAAAAATAGATGAATCATGCACACCGAAAGCCTGCAAATCAAATTTTAATATGGATTTTAAAACATATCAGTCAAGTGACCTTCATCAAGTATTGTTTATCAGGCATCTAGAAAGAAACATTTTCCATCATTAGAACATAATACCTTAGAGTGTTAAAGTGGAAACCTTACAGCTTGGCTCATTGAGTTCACAGACTGATGATTTCAAATTGGTGCTTGAGAGGTGATTTTCTCTCCGGTGCAGTAAAAATAGCCATCCCTAGAAAACGAGAGCTGCTCAGGTATTAACAGGCCCCTGTTTCACATCATGAGCATAGTTGCCAAGTCTGTGTATTATACGCGACTTTGGGCTTCTTTTTTTGTAAAGTTGCGTGAAAAAATCCCGGGTCGCGTTTTTTTGGGCTTATTTAAAAAAAAAAGGTTGCTTGTTAGGGAAATCTGACAAGCAACTTCATTTCTTTATTTATGTTCGCCGTATTCTCCAATGCATTGGTTGACACTCTGTCTGCTCACAGTTAATAGCCAACCAGTGCAATAATATATAAGTGCTGCAGCGTAAATTGCCAAATGTTCCGCCCCCTCCCTGAATATGCGTTGCATCTGCTGCCTACTTATACTCACGCTGTGATCAGCAGCAGCTGGATGCAATAATCGCATGCCAATGTGCATTGGCTTGTTTAGTTTACACTCGAAGTGGATTGGTCCCTCTAAGCGAGATCCCAATTTCGTCGGTCAGCCGACGTGACGTCTCCGTTCCCTCCTTCAGGGAACGAGGGTTACATACGTAACCGAGACGTTTTTGCTTTTCAGATAAAAGAGTGGTTTCAGTTTAATATGTTGCAGGTTCATTTATTGGTAATAAATAACTGATAATAAATAATATTGATGATAATAAATCATCAAAAAAAAAATATTGGGTTTGTTTTGGGCTTGTTTTTTAAGCTGCGGTTGCTTATTTATCTTGTGAGAGTTGGCAACAGTGATCATGAGCTCATGTGCTATGGGGGAGGGCTCTGCTTGTCAGCTCAGTTGCTGTGGCCTGAGGGGAAGATGATCGTGCAGATAGGCCTGCTGGACAAAGTACACAATTCTGGAAATACGGCCACAGCACTAGAGTTGCCTGATGAAAAAAGAAAAAAAAAAATAGAGTGAAGCTGGATGAATAAGTGATGGTATCAGCAAGAAAGAGGCTTTCCAGGAATGCCAGAAGAGGATGGGGGTGGGGGGAATGAAAGAAGATGACGCTGAAGACCAGAAAAATGAACAGTCAGACAAAGACAAGTGACAAGAAAGCTTTACAACAATAGTGTGCACTTCATCAGACCCATCCGCGAACAAAAAAATTCCAGGGATTTTCTGCTACAACTCTAGACATATTCCTGGAAGCAAATACTTCTGTCAGATGAAAATAAAGGTTGATGGTTATTCAACTGCCTTGAACAAGTACAGAAAAAAGAAGTATCCCTCAATGCTCATCACCTACAAGAGCTGCCTGCACAGGAGTATTTATTTATAAATTTTTACATTAGCATGAAAATAATGTGGGGAAATGAGATAATTTTAAATCAATGACCTTATTCATTTGATTAATTCCAAGGGTAAATGTTTTAAATATTATAGGCAAATAAACTATAAATAATTAAAAAAAATAATAATGTTAATAATAATGCTGTGGTTCAAAACTAAACTGAAAATAGGGTTAGGGTTATAATAGCCTAATACAAATACAATAAAATACAATGTTGTTATCATCAACTAAAGTGACAAAAACTATTTTAAATAATATCTGTATTCATTGAAATAAAGCTTAAATAAAATTACATATAAATATAATATATAAAAAAAATGAACTAAACAAAAATTTGAAGTACTAAAATTACTAAAACTATTTTGAAATATTTTTAATAAACAAAAGCTAACAGTTTATCTATTTATTTACAATTAATTTGATTTATTTAGTTAAACAAATTAAAAAACAACTGAAAATATAAAAATAAAAGAAAATTCTAAATGTTTATAAAATTGTTAAAAAATAGTATATAAATGATACTAAAATAACACTGAAATATAATAAATATACCAGAGCCGATTTAGCAAGTTAGCGTAATGGGAGCATAATGAAGTCCAATCACTTAATAGCAAATGTCTCTTTAACAAGCCACACAGATTGCGGTATCATTCGGTAGCACAAAGTAGTGCAGGACAAGTTATGCATCAAAGATCATTATTAGCATTTTGTTCAAATCTTTAACCCTTGCCTTAGCTACCACTGATAAAGCACTGCCATAATAGAAAAAAAATGTAGTTCTAAATACTTTGCTTAGTAAAATGACCACATTGGTTACTTCAAGACCATTATCCTGTCAACTTAAACGATATGAAGGAGGACCTAATGGCAGCTGAGAGCATAAGTGATCAAACAGTGGGTTACAAGCACCAGAGGTTGTTTGCTCATGCAGCACCAACTCAGAGCGGAACCCACTCTCAGCGAAGCAGCCTTGATTAAAATCAAAGCAACAGTGCGCAAACAGAAAAGCTAATTGATGAATCAGGTCTGCAACTGTAACGGATTATTTCTATATTTACACATGTAAAAGGCAGAAGAGCTCAAAGCCACCACATCCTTCACTAGGCCCGAGCCTGAATACGTTCACACACATGTAACACCTGTCTCAGAGTTTCGCTGTGTAATATAATGATGGATCTCCGCACTCTGCAGTGCTCACCGTGTCACAGACTCAGACAGGGAGGAAGTGTGCGAGTGTGAGATTCTCAGGGTTTGATAGCTGCTGGCACGCCAATCAAGCCACGAGCGAACGATGCTACGTTAGCACCTGCGCTGGCTTCCTGCCCGTGCTTGCAGGTGCTGCAGGGCTCACATGGGAGAGGGTACAGGAAGTGTGGGGATTGGGGAGGCTACATGGACTTGTATCCCTCATATCCAATCCAATGCTATAATGCTGATATTTAAACATTTTCTATTGCCTGCTGAGGTCTATGCATGTCTGGTATTAGTGAAGTCAGTCAAAACATCACAGAATAGACAATGTCTATGTGACATTTTTTTTCGATTCTCAGAAAGCCCATGCAGGTGTTCCACAAACTGGCATGTGTGATACTGGAGGAGAAGAGAATGCACTGTACCTCAGTCACAATGACACAGAACGGACACTGCACGACACTTCACTTTAAAAAGCAATACAACTAATGAATGCCAGGAAGCTGTCCTCAAAAAGCAAGGCTTCTATCCAATGATGCTTTTATTTCCTTTTGTGGTCCGAGGCATTAGGACCTCATTAATTCCTCATTTTAAACTATAACAAACAACAAACAAATATTAAATGGATAGCTCAACCTGACTCGTCTTCATGTTGTTTCAAACCTGTATGACTTACTTTATTTTGTGGAACACACACATACACAGAAAGATATTTAAAAAAAAT